TGTATAGCTATACAATACATGTTTGGTTCAGTGTGTTCATGTGCATTCAAAGCAATAACAGGGACATGTAAATCAGGAGGCACAAGTTCACGTAGAGACAACAGGAGAAAGCGCGTTCTTAAGTGACTGGCACAGTATTCAGCAGCGCAGTGGTCCTTATTAGCGAGACCAGAACGAGCGGACCCATGCTTCTGGCTYGCACAAAGACAACTTTGTGTGAAAACTACCTCTCACCACGAGCGTAGCAGCAAACACAGAGTTCAGAGCCACGGGCAGGAAAAGTTAGAGAGAGAAAAAAAAGAGCTAAAAATAAAGCAGAACCAGAAAGGGGGGTGGTGGGGGGGGGGGGGGGTTTAGGTGAAAGGCTACTTTAACGATGCAGACTGACAGGTTATCAACATAAAATAACACAACTGCAAAATCTGAACATTCCTTTAAAATAATGCACATATTTCTCCGCCAAAGCCAAATATTCAARCAAAGAACCCATGCAACCAGTTACAACTCTGAATATTTGTCTGGGTTGACTCTCAGCTACTACCACACCAGATTTTAGCTCAATATCTGTAAAAAAAATATATACTTAAGTTTTGTCCCATTTTGTGTTGCTGGATTATCTGTAGCCACCATCTTGAATAAAATTAAATCCAATAGTCATGCTCACTTTGAGAACTTCATTCAAAATCCACCCAGTAATTCATGGGATCTTTTGCTAACAGACACAAACACACAGGCAACTACAACACTGACCACCTTTCATGGCAGCAAGTGATGAAGACTCTGAACTTTTGAGAAGAAATTATCACAGCACAACAACAAAAAGTGCAATTCTCAAGCAACGTGGAAAATACTATTTTTAAATTTGAGCAACTGTTTTTCTCTTTAAGGTCCTTAAAAAACTTGATGCCTACCTCGAGATCATCCAGAGACCGTGCCATGCTGAGACGTTTGACTGAACGACGTTTGGAGGCACGGACAACACCTACACCCCAAAACTTGGATCCCTAAACGAAGAAAAGAATACAAATATGGAGACTGATGGAACTGACCTGTATYACCTGTATTATTAACCTTCTTCCTCCGTTCAAACAGTTTAACAAAGTTCATGAAAACATGGATGAAGCTTTCTTAAACTAAGTTGACATTCAGAATCTGTTAAAACTTTTTCATTATGTTTCTGTAAATTTGCGACATTAATCGTGTGTAGTTTTTTCTGGGATCGTCACTCGTTGAGTATAAATAGAGCATTACATCTTTCACAGCTCACAGAGGTGAATCTTGTTAAATCCCAAGATCTGGAAATGCTTGACTTTATTTGTCAGGATCCTTTGCTGAGGTTCACTCCTGCTGGCCTTKTTCTTAAAATCCWGAGGTTGAGCCCAGAGTTTAAAACAAGAGTTTAAGGAATTGCAGATAATTACCAATGTATGACATGGGCTCTACCCTGTAATTTCCCCCGGCTTCCTGTCTAAGATTGTCGTCTTTCTGATCTAAAGCGAGCTCAAGAACAAACACACAATCCAGCTCTGCGATAGAAACAGAGAAACGCTGGAACAAGTGAAGCACATGGGAGTAGAAAAGCTTTATATTTTTAGTCCCAATTTTTATCCAACACCCACGGCTTGTACCCATAATTTGCAATCACACGTTTTTTCGACACCGAGTCTAATTGGAGCCCTCTGTGGGACCGAGGGAAAGAAAATACTTCAGAGATTCTGTAAATACACATTACTGATTTCCTGAGAGGGGCTCGTTTCCGGACCTACGTGGACACATGGGGACATCTTGTGGGCAAAGATGAAACCAACGCGAAATTATTGTTCTTTTTGAACATACTCTGAGGTAAAAGCATTGAGGTTTACTTAATGTGTTCTGACAGTGTGCAGAAACTCAACACACTGTAAAGACTTTATATTTTTGCTAAGTCAAAATGATTTAGAACACAGGACAGAACATTTCAGGCCACATCAAGCAAGCTAGTTTTTAAATGTTTACTGTTATTATTTACTTTGGACCGAAGGTTTCTTAACTTGGTCACTCATTGCTTTCTGTTTCGCAGATGTTTTAAAGACATTAAACTCCAGAGTTAAATATACAGAGAAATGGAAAAACTTACACTTTTGCTGCTGCCATCTGTTCGCTGCTTCTGTCTTTGTTCGAGAAATCTTTTGGTCCACTCTTCTCTGGGAGGCATCATGGCCTCTTTGGACTGGTACCTGTCTGAGGGGGGCAGGTTATTTGTGGTAGCGCTTGAGTTTGCGGACCAGTTTTTTGTGGGTATCTCTTGAGGTACGGAATCACTACTTAGGTTTTTAGCCCACTTTGGTTTTGAGAACCACCTTTGGCTACTTCTTAGAGGGTCTGCCAAGAAGTTTGTTTTTTTAGCCAAAGGTAGAGGAGGAGGTGGGGGCTTAAACCGGAACTCTAGCCTGGGTGGGGGGCCTCCATAAAAGCTGGTTAAAGAGTCTGGGCCAGGCAGAGACTCTGAAAGGGAATGCGTGCTGGCATAATTTTCTGGATTTAGTATTTGGCCATCTCTGAAGAGGTTTATTGGGGTGATGTCTTTAGCTGGAGAATAATCCCACGGACAGCTGGGAAGGTGAGCCCCAGAATGGTTTCGGGTTTCAGGAGGGAAATCCCTTTCGGTTCTCTCTTCAGGGGGAGAAGCATTTCCAATACCGCTGTCCCCGTTGCTGCTGGCTCTGCCCTGTTTGCTGGTGTTGTCACTTTCTTTTGCTTGCAGCTGAGCCTCTGAGTCCAGTTTGACTCTGAGTCTTTCCACTGCCTCCCCCAGGTCACTGTACAGGACTGTTACAAAGTGAAGGACGTCTGGGGGAGTCTGAGGGAACTCCAGGCAGCCGAAAGCATCAGGATCAAGGGTGCAGTCAAATCCAAAGCGGCCAGCGATCCCTTTGTGGTCCTCGTGGTTTCCCAGCTCCGGGTCGATAAAGAATACATGGCAGGAGGCCCGCAGAGGACCATGATCTGGTACACGGCCATTGACAATATGCGCCGTAGTGACCAGGCAAAAGAAACGTGGGTCCTCTGCACACACGGCTCCTAAAACAAGGTTCTCAGCAGGGAAAGCGGCCAAAACGGCTCCTGCATCGTCACACAGTCGAACACAATCAAACATGATCTTCATCATTACCAGAGTGTGGGTATTCTGCTCAGTACCCAGCTGTCGAATCCTTTCCCGAATGGCTTTTAAGCAGTCGTCCACTGAATCATTAGGGTTCAAAATCAACTCAGTAGAGCTCAAATAGCCCACCACTAAAGTCATATTTAAAATGGCCCAGTTTGGATTAACTTCCTCTGTGTCTGTGAAAACCGAATCTGTGTCTCTGACTGTGGGTGCTTCCTTCTTTGTCTGCTCGGCTAAAGTACTCCACTGTTGTGACCATCGGGACATGTCAGGCTCTGAAACAGGTCTCTGTTTACTTTCAGCTACATGGTTTGAATTGGAAGAATTGCTCGAATCGTCCGATATAGTACGGAGAACACTCGGCTTTTGGAAAACGTTACTTTTCTGCACGAAGCCAAACTTTGCGTCATTAAGAATGGGGTTTCCCATGACGCGGCGTTCGGCCAGCACGACCAGGCGCAAGGGCCCCGTGCAGCTGCCGACCAGCTGCACCACAGATTCGTGCGTCGCGGTGGACACGTCCGCTCCATTGATGGCCATGATGCAATCACCTTGTCTCAGACCAACGAGCTGGGCAGGACTCCCCTCCATGATGCCGCTCAGCAAGCATGGTTTCTGTCCCATGATCGTGAAACCATAACCAGCCCGACCGCGGATGATCTCCACACCCCTGAGCTCGGCGGTCGCATTTAAATCCAGACGCCTCCTGGCGCCCTCGGGTTGCCCTTGTATCCTCATGTCAGTCACAGGTGGGTGGGAGACGAGACCCAGCGAGGGGGAACTGGAAAAACTTGCAGATAGCCAACACTATTGTGTTGTTGTCATCCTGTATTCAGAAAATAAGAATAAAAACAGACAAAAAAAAGCCATTTATATAATAATAATAATTTGCTTGCAGAGTATCAAAATACAAACAGGAAAATGCATTCCACAAAAGATTTAAATGTATTTTATGCTGTGGTTCTTAAACTTCTCAGCTTTCAACTAGCAAAATAAAATTCAACCAATCATAATTTTTTAATATTAATTTCTGACTTCGGTTTTAATCTCTTTATAATGCTAAATATGCCACTGGCATTTATCATCACCCACCGCTGAATGTAAAAGACAGCGTTTTTGTGCCTACATCTGTGAGTGTGTAAATTTGTCTGCATCGTTAGCAAAATATCTCATGAACCGCTGGATATCTTTTTGATGAAACTTTCAGGAAATAATCAGTAGATGTGCATTTACAACTGATTAACTTTTAGAATCAAGCCAATTCAAGATGGCCACCACAGCTAAATGACATTAACCTACACAACAACAGCCATATCTCAGTGAATCACACACTAAGCTAAAATTTGATGTGGTAGAAGCTGAGAGTTGTTCACATCTCAACCTCCAAGTGCTAAAGTGGTCAGGTGAGATCATTGACYAAAATGGTGGACATTTGTTATTTCTCAACATACGAGGATCTTAGTCTCTAAGCCAGGGCTATTCAACTAAAATCGCTCCAGGGACCACAGTTACTGCCGGTCAACAGCTGAGGGGCCGAACATCCAGCAATTTAAGTTATTATGTAAATAAACCAAGTATTATAAAGATCTATTACGTACCTTAGAATTAGTTTATTTTACTGCAGTTAATCATGAATACAACATACAGAACCCTATAAAAGTAGTGATAATTAAACATTATCAAAAACAAAAAGAACATATTTTGCCTCCTATTTAACACAGATATTATTTTGACATCTCTGACTTGCCAAATTTTTAAACCAATTTTATTTTCACTTTCATAGTTTTATCTTCAACTGCTTGTAGTTTTAACTGTCTTGAGTGTTCATAGAAATGGTTTTTACCAGCTTCTAGCCAAGATTCTGACATTCTGTAGATACCAAAACATGTCTATGTTCAACTAAAAGAACTTAGAGTAGTTAAAGTAGAAAACCGGAGGTTTGGGCTTAAGAGATGAATGAACCAATTGGAGGGCCGAACTTTGGTCACTCATGGGCCGGATGTGGCCCGCGGGCCACCAGATGAATAGCCCTGCTCTAAGCATTTATTAAAGAATGCCAGGCTTTTATTTTCTTAAGTTTATTTGAAGACCCTCCATTTGGTGCTTCATGACCCACAACAGGACCCTGACCCCAACTTTGGGAAGCACTGAATCATAGATGTGGTCAAAGCTGATTTGAAACACACACATTTAAATACTTTTATATCAGTCTACATTAACTTAAAATAAAACAACCGCATTAAATTGTTGTCATCTGTAGATAAATAGACATTAAAACCAGAGGTTTATAGTAACTAAGTACATTTACTTTGTTACGGTAAGTAGTTTTTTGAGGATTTGTAATTTTACCAATTATTTTTAACAGCTACTTTGACTTTTATTTTGTTACATTTTAAAGCAAAAAAATGATACTTCTACTTCTTTACTTTAAAATGTAACACCTATTACTACAAAATTAAATATGTTGGAACTCATCATGAATGGAGATGTTTCTACAGTGTTGAATTTACTCAACAAAGTCATGTCAGCTGGCTCCACTAAGCCTAGTTAAGTAAACTGATCAATAATAAACATATTGCTCAATTTACTCCACCTGGCTTAGTGGAACCAGTTTGGTTCAGTAAATGTAATAGTTTATTTCTTAGAGTGTGTGTAGAAGTACTTTTACTTTCCAAAGTTTTGTGAAGTTTTATAACTTTTACTTGAGTAGTTTTCTCATCAGTTAAATTTATTTTTACCAGTCATTTTCTGTTCATGTAATTTCACTTTTACTTAGTTTTTTTTTTCAAGTACTTTATAGAGCTCTGTTAAAAACTACCCAAAATGTGCATCAGAGTGGGTTTTCTGGCTCCATTTTACAATCATTAGTTTGTAAAAGCAAATTGATAATTAAATGAAACTGGCATCCATCTTATTTGAGCGATGACCCGTCAGAAGGAGTGAGGGGAAGCTTTATGTCCATGACCCCTCCTGCTCCTCCTCCTCCTGCTCCTCCTGCTCCCCCCAAAACAAAGTGCCAGCTGGCTCTCTGCTCCCCAGCACTTCAATGACAACTCGTTGGTTTCGGACATCCGCTGCTGTGTTTWAAAWCGTCCGAAGCAGCCACAAAACGTAGCATTTTCAAAACAAATGTCGCCTGACAGTAAAGTTAGTTTACTGTATTACTGCACGGCTCTACGAAGCGAGGGAAGAAATTACCTGTGAAGGGTTGAAAAGTGTCGGAAAACTCCCACGGTAAGTTCTCTTTAAAAACAAAACCGTGATGCGTTCACGTCCTCTTCATTGTTGACAACATTTCTTTTACATTATCAAATATTATTATTATTTCCAGCCCTTGCCGTGATTCGGTGGTCCATACGGCAACGCGCTCGACGACACCAAGTCCCTCCTCACAAAAGCGTCTTTCACTGTAACCATGACAGCCTAACGTCTCTCGACCACGTGACCCTGCTTTTAGCCAATCAGTGCGTTCGTTGTGTTTAATATTCAAACAGAAGGAGTGATGCTATTGGCTGAAACAGGTGGCAGTGTGTGTCTTTTATTTTYCCCCCCTTTGAGTTGAATTTAAAAATCAGAGGTATTGGAATTAAAATGCACACATTAATTGATTAGAAACTTGTTGGTAGTCCTAAACAAATACCCCAAAGTAGCATTTTTTTTATACTTATTAAACATTAAAAAGTGTTTCTGTCACATTTTTGATCAATCTAAAGCAGTGTTTCCCAAAGTTGGGGTCGGGACCCAAAGTGGGGTCCTGAAACATCAAGGTGGGGTCCTGAAAAGATTTTCTGAAYTAATTACATTTTTGCCTTAGTTGTTACAAAAGCGTGAGGTTAGTAGATTTAAAATGGATAAATGTAGTATAGTAAAAATTGTTACTATGCCCATGTTTTGTTGACCTGATACAAATGTTTATCGTCCAAAAATAGTTGTGAGCACAGGTCTCTGCTCTTGTTTTGTACTATTTTGGGGGTCAAAAGCTGAAAAGTTTGGGAACCACTGCACTTTGGTTCCCAAAGTTGGGCTTGGGACCCAATTATGGGTCATGAAGCACCTTGGATAATCTCCAGAAATCAATTTAAAGGGTAATAAAATAATTGCTGATGTAATATTTTTCCTATAATTATTACAAAAACACAAAATAAGTAAAAAATAAGTATTTATTTGTGTATAAGCTGTTTAGATTGTCAAAAAGCCTGTGTTTTTAGGGTTATTGACAAAGTTGGCCAGTAATATTTGGGGTCACAAGTTTTTGCCATGGATATTTTGTGGGTCAGAAGATAAAAAGTTTGGGAACCACTGATCTAAAGTACAAATTTTACCTTCTTGGATTTAGAAGTGTCTTAATTTGACTTTCCATGTGGATCTGCCTCACATTCATTTTACAGGCTTGAAAACAATAACTATGGAGGTCAAAGGGCTGTAACGGTTGCTAACACGCCTTCATGTGGAAAGCAGTTTAAACATTTACAAAAACAGGGTTACTGGCCACTTGAACCAATAACGTGAAGTGATAACTTGGTTATTAATAGTAACAGGAAAAAAAGAGGAAACACAAACAGGTTGTTGCACTTTGTTCTATTTATTATTATTTTGTTTGTGCTTGAGCCCTGATTTCATAGAGAAGGAAACATTTATTCTTTGTCATTTTTATTACACTGAGGCAATAGCTACGGAAGAGGATTAAGACCAAAAAAATTAAATAAAAAAAAAGATTAACTTTTTTCTCAGAAACAAAGAAAAAAAACATGTCAAAGATATTTACATGAACGTACAAAAATGTATTTTTGTAAAGTATTTGGATTTTTAAACATTAATAGTCATTATTATAATTCATACCAAGTGTCGTACATATATGGACGTTTAGCGAATAGAAACAGCAAAAATTACCCAGATTTGGTGCCTTTTTTACTACATATTTTATTTTTTGCTCTCTGAAACCATTGCTCTTCTATTGCACTATTATATCCATCTCTATTTTTAATTAGTGCAATGTGACAAAATCAAGGTCAGCACCATTTCTGTTCCTCTTTTTTGCCAGATGAAAAAAAATCTACTCAAAAAATACACCTTTTGAAGAACGTGTCATTTTCCTTCACATTTTATTCAGTTTAAGTACRTTTTGCAGCCTTTTTTGAGCAACCTTGACGTTAATGAAGATTAATTTCTCACTTACTGAGCTCATTTTTGACACAAGATGTTCCCAACATGACAAAATAAGAAAGAAAAACAAGATTTCCAAAGGCAGTTTCAGTGATTTTAATGAGGTACTTGTCAAGTTATCAAGAAATATTTTTGTTCAACTAGTATTAAACTAAAAACTGACATTGGAGTCTAACAGTAGATGCTAAAGTTTCAACATAAGTATTTACAGCTTTTAATGAGTTTCAGGGAGCCTCATAAATGGTAAAAAAAAATGCACGTCTTTACCATCTATGAGCTCATAACAGTTGCGGTGTCATTTTTTAAACATATAAAGTCTTGAAAATTTTTGCTTTTGAGGTGAAATTGTAAATAAAAAGATAACTTTTCATAAAAGCGGAAGAAAAACACTGAAGGCTTCCCGCTCCTCAAGGCTTGCCAGGGTCTTTGGCCCCCCACACCACCGCCGTGGAGGCGGGAAGATGAATCATCTTCTCCAGGAGGTTCATCATCCTCTCCTGCAGCTGCAGACACTGGACCTGGAGGAGGTTCTGTTGGTGCAGGGACCGACGGACCTCCCTGCACGTCTCCTCGATGGCCCGGGTCGACTTCCTCTGCTGCTTCAGCATGTCCTGCATCACCTGTAGCTTCCTCCTCTTCAGGCACAGGTACTTTTTGGCACGCCTCTTCCTGGTGGAGATGGGCTGGGAGCTGGGGGGGGGGACAGAGACCGAACTCGTGAAGGTCAGGCTCAAGACAATAAAAAAAAACAACAACAAATAAAAAACACTACCTGGAGCCGAGCGTGTGGTCACTGTCTGAGCTCAGAGATTCCAGCTCCTGCTTTATCTCCATCTCATCCGAGGAGCCCGTGTACTCSGGCAGAAACCCCATCACGCCTTCCTCCGACTGGGACAGGGGGTTGTCGGTGGACTGGGACGAAGTGGAAGGACCTGCAGCAGGACTCTGAAACTCCAGAGAGTTCACCCTGCCGTTCTCCAGCGGCTTGGAGAGGATCTTCTCGATGGCCTTGTAGTAAGGCCAATCGGGCACCTCGGTGGTTTCGTTGGCCGTGGCTTTCAGTCGCCTGGAAAAACCAAACAAAACTTTGACAATGCATTTCACAGACGCGTGGTTTGGATTTGAAGGACTCACCTGAACTGGAAAGACATGTTGGTGATCTTCATCTTGATCTCCTCCTTGTAGCGCTGCTCTCCGGTCAGCTGGTAGAACCTCTGGGACATCTTCTCGTAGACCTTGGCATTCCTCTTGCTGGTCTTCAGCTCGTTGTGGTGCTCCTCCCACACGTACAGGAGGGCCTTCATCTCGCCGTCCGTCCAGTTCGGGGCCCGCCGGTGCTTCTCGCTGTGCATCAGGTAGCTGAAACTATCGTCTGCTGCCATGTTTGGTTGTTGCTGTTGTTGTGTTAAAGGCCTCTCTTGGCCTTGTGCAGGCCGTGTGTTTGCAGAGGACGTTTGGAGGTTGRATTTAAAAGCCTTTTTACTCAGACAGGAGCTGAGTTCAGTCTGCAGGGAGGGAGGGACACATGTGAGAAAAGACAGAGCCCTGCCTGTGTGCCCTTCCCCCCTTAGCCTAGCTGAAAGAGGACTCAAAATGGGGCCTAAGGCAGGCGAGAAATCCGGTTAAAAGCTTTTAATACTGCGTGATGTCACAGTGACATCAAGTTGCCCTGGCAACGGCGAGCGAGAGGCCCTTTATCCTCCCTCCCCTCTCGCCACAAACCACTCCCATCCGCTCTCCTCGGCCCTGCATTCTGCTCCCACTGGCAGCACAAAAAGCTTTTAGCTGAAAGGCAGCYGCAGAGATTCGCTGACAGTTTTGAAACACGAGCCTCGGGAGGAGGAGGACGGGGAGGAGGAGGAGGGGAATTAAAAGAAAGAGAGTGAAATATGTGTTTCCCTGGCAACTAGGGGAAAGGACTTGGTAGTCAGCCAACACTGCTCCATTTAAAAGCTTTTAATAATAGACAAGTTTGTTCTGAGAGGAAGGAGGGAGGATTCTGCTTTCTGTGGAGCCGTACGGAAACAGAAAGCAAGCAGCTCCTGGCAGCCTGGACCTGAATCATAAAAWTACTGAAAGAAAAATACAAGTAAAGACGTTTCACTGAAGCTCTGTGGGTGGGGGGGAGACGGGGGCAAAAATGGCAACATGGTGATCAACCCTGCAGAGCGACACAATGCTCTGCAGGGTAATCAGCTTTCTTTACACAGCCGCGGGTGGTGGTCAGTAAAACCCCTGCAGGAGAGGTCTCTGACCAGATGAAGACCCCCTCCCCTCCCCCACCCTGGGTTGAAAGAATCCCTCCCTTTATGTGGTGTTTCGTAATCCTTTTAAGAACAGTTCATTTTAGCAAAAAATAAAAAATAATTTAAAAAAGGGAAGAAGTTTAACTTTCTGCACCATTTTCCACTTCTCAGCTTCGAGTCCTTATCGCCCGCCTCATTTTATGACAGAGTTTTAGTCTTAATGCGTTCAGGATGACTCTCAGCCAGAATTGTAAAATAACTAAGTACAAATACTTTGTTACTGTACTTAAGTAGATTTTTTGGGTATCTGTACTTTACTTGAGTAACTATTTTTCAGCCTGCATTAAACTTCTACTTCTTACATTTTAAAAAGACAAGAAGTAGAAAGTCGTTACTTTTATTTCATTTTTGCTTGTCTTCATTCCAGCTTGTTATTGAAAAATATATATAC